GTACTACCATTTTCTGTCATAACCTGTTGTGACATTTTATCAGAGTCAATTCACATTTTACACTGACTTTATATTTGGCACTCAAAGCAATGTTACAGAGGAATGCTACACTTTTAAGTACTGTCTTACCAGTTCAAATCTTTGCTCTTACATTTAAGAAATCAGTTCAGATTTGTATTTAAGTTCCAACAGTTTCTTAAATTTCATTGCTAAAAATTTATTTAATTCATCATTGCAAGCTCATATTTTAAAAATTAAATATACAATGTCACCTGTACAGTCAGAAACTAGCAATGACTCTTAACAAAGGCAAACATTAGAAATTTGAAATAGGAGTAACCATTCAGCATCACTATTAAAACAGAAAATGCTGGTTAGACATTATTTGTGGACAGAAACAGTGTTACAGTCTGAGGTTAATAATGACCCTTCATCAGAACAGCGTCACTAGTCTGTTTTACCATTCAATTACAGCATGGTTGATCTGTAATTCAATAACATTTACCCACTTTTATTGCACATTCCTTGTCCAACAAATCTATTTGCTCTCAGGCTTGGAAAATTCTGAGTGAACTAGCATCTGTTTTTTTTTGAGCATGGTAGCACCTAAGTTCCATAATTAGCAACCAAAGATATTTTCTTGACATTAATAACCATGTTGTGGAATAACTACTGGAATCTATAATTCACGACAGGAGTGACTGAGCACTTTAAGTGAAGCACTTAAATTTCTTAAAGGTATTTAAGAAGTACAACACGGATTAAGGATACTGGCTTCTACCCTACAAAATGGAAAATTACCCAGGTCGAACCTATCCACAACAAGCAAAACAAATCCAATCCAGCTACTTAATGCCCCATCAGCCAAGTGACAGATGGTGTTATTAAGAACGCTACCAAGTGGCACTTCCACAGCTATAACTGGCTGCTACTGAACATCAGTGAGCAAGTCAGCTCCTGACCTCTTTACAACTTAAGTCCAAAGATGAATAAAAGAGCAAATACAAGAGGAGAGGTGACAGTGACAGTCCTTCACATTGAGGCAGCTTTTGACAGAGGGCGATATCAAGGATCAATAACAAAATTAAAGTCGATGAGAATAGGAGGGGGGAGTGGAATTGCTCCACTAGTTGGAGTCGTACCTAACACAAAGGAAGATGGTTGTGGCTACTGGAGGCCAATTATCTCAGTCCCAGGCCGCTGGTCTGGAAACTCCTCAATGTAATCCTCTTGCAATGAAGGCCATTTGACTTCCTAATTGCTTGCTGCCCCTGCCAATCTACTTATACTGACTGATGTACAAGGACACCCAGATCTCTCGGTACATCAATACTTAAATAATACTGCCTTTCTGTTTTTCACACCAAAGTGTATAACTTCACATTTAGCCACATTGTAATGCACTGGCCATGTGCCCGCACACTCACTCAACTTGTCCAAATCACCTTGAAACTTCCATGCATCTTCCTCAACTCACAATCCCACCAGTTTTGTATCATCAGCAAACTTCAAAATGTTAAATTTAGTTCCTTCATCCAGGTCATTTATACATCATGAACAGCTGGGACCTGTACACTGATCCTGTGGTAGTCACTAGTCACTGCCTACCACTTGGAAAAAGACCAATTTATTCCCATTCTGTTTTACCTGTCTGGCAACTAATTTTTGATCCATGCCAATATATTACCACGGACATCATGCGCTTTAACTCTTTTCATACGATCCCTACAGTGTGGAAACAGGCTATTCAGCCCAATATGTCCACACCAACTCTCTGAAGAGCATCCCACACAGACTCGCACCACTACCCTATCGCTGTAACCTTGCATTCCCATGGCAAATCCACTTGACCTACACATCCCTGAACACTACTGGCAATTTAGCATGGCCAATCCACCTAACTTGCACATCTTTGGACTGTGGGAGGAAACCAGAGCAGCCAGAGGAAACCCACACAGACACGGGAGAATGTGCAAACTCCACAAAACTCTGCCCACTAACCTCTTATGTGAGACCTTATTGAATGCCTTTTGATATTGTTGCAGTGATAATGTCTTTAGACGAGTGATTCAGAAGCCCAGGCTAATGCACTGAGGACATAAAGAAATCAGTCATGATTTTAGTGAAAAGCAGAGCAGGCTCCGAAAGCCAAATGGCTGCTCCTAATTTGTCTGTTTTAAATCCCACTGTGGCAGCTAAAGGAATTTAAATACTAATAAAATCTGGAATGGAAAACTAGTCTCATTATTGATGACAACAATCTATTTGTTGTCGTATAAATCACGCGGTTTACAAAGTGTAGGAAATCTACTGTTTTTATTTGGTCTGATCCACATGCGACTCTAGATAGCAACGTGGTTAACACTTAACTGCCCTATACATTCAATTCAACAGTCAATTAGGAATGGATAACAAACAAAAGAGTAAAAACAATTCTGAGCAACACATTTTAGCAAGCATCTACTAGTTTTGGAAGACATGCAGTGCAGATTCACAACAAGCTACCAGTGCTCCAACATTAGCTTGAGGAGAAATTACTTAAGTTGCTTTTATTCCCAGGAAATAGAAGGACAAAGATAATTTGATTGGGTTTTCACAATCTTGATAGCAGTTGTTAGGGTCATTATATTAAAATTTTCCACCAGCACAATTTATTGCAGGGAGAAATAATATAACCAGAGCCAAGCATTCAGGAGTGAAGTTAGGAAAGGTGTCTTCACAGAAAAGGAAGTATGAAAGTCACTTCCATAAAAGCCGTCAGCTGCTAGCTCAATTAATAGCTTTTAATGACTCTCAAAAATCACATTTATTTCTGCTATTTAGGGATATGGAGACAAGACAGCTGGCGTACAAGTTAGCCATGCTCTCATTGAATAGAAGAACAGGCGCTAGGATTCAAAAGAAGTCAGCTATACAGAATGCTAAATAGAAAATTCAAAAAATGTATTCTAAAAATCAACAGTTGAAAACTACAATGCAGTCATTTAGATCAGGTCAATTATGATGTAATTTGGCCATATAGAATTCCTTTTAAATTGCGAGTACTAATAAAATTTTAAAAGAAAATGGTTGAGAATACAGTATTACAATGATTGATTCTTTCATTACCTTTACTTGGAGATTTGACACCCACAGCTGTGAATCCACTTGTCATAGACTGGTGATAAATCCTGTCTAATCTTCAATTTGCTGCTACATTTGTCACCTTATACAAGTGGAGTATCTCACCTTGAAGAGGTAAAACTGACAGCATGTCTTACTCTGCAGGAACCACAACTCTTACCAACTATTACGCACAGAAACACTGATTCAAGAGGCAAATGTTTTTAATGATGAATGGAATTAAGTATGCTTTTCAAAAAAATTTAGTGCAAATGGAATTAGAAATTTAAAATTAAATATTCAACATTTTCTTACTTGTTAGATGCTGAAAGCACTGTCAGAACTGTACACAGTGTGTCATTAAGACAGCTTTAATTCAATTATAGGCAAACTCAGACATGTCACATATGTTAAATGTAATAGTTTTATATGGCTGCGAGGCACTATACTGATTTATGGACATCAGCATCATCATACCAGTGACAGAAATGGCTTGACATTTTATAGGATGGAAAAGTAAACAAAAACAGTTGTATGCTTCACATTTAAGTGAATAGAACAGAAAGTGCAGAATACTGCCAAAGTAGATGTTTCTCTTATAAGTGTATGCAAAACAAAAGTGACAAAATACATTCTTTGTTTTCTCCGAATTTTCAAGAAGTGTTAGGTGTTATGACAGACAGGAACATTATTAACCCCACGACTCAGTGCTTTTTCACCCATGATGACATCACACTGAAATCTGGACCATCACTAAGTAGCTGCAGAACAAAGGTCAAAATTTGGCAGTGTTTGAGTTAACACACCAAATTCAGAAAAAGATCTCACAGGAAGAAATGTTACAATGAGAGACAACCAGGAAGGGTATTTGAATATCAAAATAAAACTTTAAATTGCTGTGCTTAACATGGAGACCCATATAGCTGGACACTAACCTGCAGACCACATTAATACTAACAGCATGGTGTTCAATCCACATTTCAGATCAAGCATACTAAACATCTGCCATGGTTCACTGAAAACTAGCAAAGGTTTGGCCATCAGACACCAAACTCAAAGAGATGTTATGTGATTTCAAAATCAATAAGCAAGCACCAGAGAGCAGTAGCAGATTATCCTGTAGTATTCACATTGCCCTCTATCTTGCACATAACCACACTTGCAGTTTCCAATAAACTCCAATGGCAATTTGATGCCAGTGCAGAGCATACCAGCAGCTATACTTTGAACATTAGAATGTTAATTTGCTGTTGAAACCCTCATCCATGTCTTTGAGCTCCAAACTCAAGTACTTCAATGCTGAAACAACAACAGAAATTGTTGGAGAAACTCAGCAGGTCTGGCAGCATCTGTGGGAAGAAAGCAGAGTTAACGTTTCAAGTCTGGTAACTCTGCATCAGAACTGAGTGTCTTGGCCAACTTCCTATTCTCCATGAACTGTTGCCTGAAAGCGGTGGTGTAGCATTCCAATTAACTATCACAGGTTTCCTGGCTAATCTACATTGCACAAAAGCTTATTTTTGGTTTTGTCCCTCCCTGTCTTTCTGATGCTTGTGAACTCGAGCAGCTCTATAACAACTCAATTCCTAAGGGAAGACCTCTTGTCCACGATCTACATCCCTATTACAGAAAAGAAAAAAAGGACTTGTAATCTTCTGCAAAGCTGCTTCTTGTTCTGCTACTCGCCAGAAAGCACACGGAAACAGCATTCAACGCAAAAATGAATTTCTGCTATACTTCTGATGAAGTTGCTTTAACAATGCAGAAGCAGCTTCTTGGAAATTCTAGGACAAAATCTGAAGTTGAAAAACCACTCCTTAAGATTTATGGCACCACGGTAATATTTCAAATGATTTATGTACTAAAAGTGATATGTAAAACTAGAAAATATTCCTTACCTGATGATGATGAATGTTTCCGGTGCTGCTGCTGAAATTATGGTAGAGACGGAATTTCTCAGTATCTTTTCTGTGTCCGTCCTTTTCTTTTGCAGTTGCTTTTGTCAAAGTTGAATGAATAAAAACTACATTTTGTTCACACCTGTAAACACATATCAAGGTATGAATATCAATTCTTACTTTTACAAGCAGGTCAGACTTAGTTTCAAATAAATATACCTTGTTTTAAGGAAATATTGTTTATTGTCAATAATTTCAAATGTCAAAGGACACGACAGAGGTTTCTAAAATAATGCAAACATGTTTCTTGAATAGATGATTTCAGAACGCGCGGGTGCACGCATACAAATCACGAAGACAAAAGTCAAGTGAGATGTACACAGTTTTTTTTTCCACTGAGCCATTGAGGGGGTGCCAGAAGATGCTAGAATGGGTTTGCAATAATCGTTCAAACAAAAGTTGGTCAAGCTCTCAACAATGGTGATTTATTTAAATTGTATAAAGTACAGAAGAACAAATAATGTTTTGCAGGATATCTCAAAGCGTTTTTCTGGTCAATGAGCTGATTTTGAAATGTTGTCACGAGTAACTGGACAAATATAACAGCAAAATTAATCAAGATTCCACAAAAAGTAATGATAAAAAAAAAATCAGCTGTCGTTTTGGTTGCAGTAACTGGGATGTTGGCTAGGTCACTTCTTCTAGTAGAAACTTGGGATCATTTACCTCCACTTAGTCAGGAAACTAGGTCCTAATTAAATATCTCATTCAAAAGTCAGCAACTATGACAATACAGCACATTCAGAGCTAGATTGTCAGAAAAGATTATTCCTTGAGCACTTTTGTGCAGCGCACCAAGACTCAAATGATTTTAAGCAGTGCCCAAAGCAACAGTGCATCTCAGAGGAGAAAGGAACATTGTTACGTTATAAATAAGACATTTGTAAGATTGTTACCTTTAGGACTGTCTCTTTAACTTAGGGTAAAATGAAGGCAGTCATTTGGCCAGAACTGAATTTTATTCAAAAAAAGCTTATGCGATTTGGTTAGTAAAGATTAAATGGGGGTCCAAGTTGTCTCACTGGGGAGAAGGTGCAAGACCTTCACACATTTTTAAAAATTCTTTCACGGGGTATAGTCTCCACTAGTGCCAGCATTTGTTCCCCATCCTTGAATTGAAATGGCCTTGCCAACCACTCAAAGAGCAGTTAAGAGTCAACCACATTGCTGTAGATCTGGACTCGCATGTAGGTCAGACGAGTTAAGAATTGTAGATTTCTATCCCAAAAAGGACATTAGTGAACAAAATGGATTTTAAAAGCAATCCAGCAGCTTAATGCTCATCATTACTGATATAGTTTATTATTTCTGGGTTACTGTTTGACTAAATTTAAATTTCTCCAGTTTCTGTGGTGGAATTTGAACTCATTCCTCCAAGGCATTAGTCTGGGCCTCCAGATTCCTCCAAAAGCAATGTAACTACTACATCACTGTTTCCTTAAATTGGTTCATACATTTTAGGTTGTACATCTCAAAAAGTTATCAAACAGTTCAAATCTTTGAAAAGCAGGCACGAAACTAAATTATAGGTTTCATAGGCTGTAATCTGAACTCTTGATCATAATTGCTGAGACTAGCTTTATATTCATAGAGTCAGAGTTATACAGGATGGAAACAAACCCTTCGATCCGCGCTGACCAGACATCCCAATTTGACCTAGTCCCGTTGCCAGCATTTGGCCTTTATCCTAAAGCCTTCATACTAATAAGTCCTGACGAAGGGTTTCGGCTCAAAACGTTGATTTTCCTGCTCCTCAGATGCTGTCTGACCTCCTGTGTTTTTCCAGCTCCACATTTATTGACCCTTCCTATTCGTATACTAATTAGTATACTTTTTAAAATGTTGTACCTGTCTCCACCACTTCCTCTGGCAGCTCGTTCAACACGTGCACCAGACTCTGCATGAAAATGTTACCCCTTCGGTCTTTTTTAAATCTTTCTCTGCTCACCTTAAATCTATGCTCTCTAGTTTTGGACTCTCCCATCCTATTCACCCTATCCATGACCTTCATGATTTTATAAACTTGTATAAAGGTAACCCCCTCAGTATCCAACACACCAGGAAAAAATGCCCCAGCCTAATCAGCCTGTCCCTAGAGCTCAAACCCTCCAGTCCTGGCAACATCCTTGTAAATTTTTTCTGTACCCTCTCAAATTTAACAACATCCTTCCTATAGAAGAGCCACCCGAATTGTACACAGTATTCCAAATGTGGCCTCACCAATGTCCTTTATATCCGTAACATGACTTTCCAACTCCAACACTCAATGCACTGACCAATCAAAGCAAGCCTGCCAAACACCTTCTTCACCGTCCGGTCTACCTGCGACTCACTTTGAAGGAACAATGTACCTTCATCCCTCGGTCTCTTTGCTCACCAACACAGCCGAGGGCCCTACCATTAACTGCATAAGTCCTGGTCTGCCTTACCAAAATGCAACACCTCACATTTATCTAATTAAATCCCATATGCCACTCCGTTGGCCTATTTGATCAAGGTCCTGTCGTACTCTGAGATAACCTTCTTCACTGTCCACTATACCATCAGTTTTGGTGTCATCTGCAAACTTAGTGACTATTCATCCTTTATTCACATCCAAATCATTTACATAAACGATGAACAGCAGTGGACCCAGCACTGATTCCTGTGGCACACCACTGGGCACAGGCCTCCAGTCTGAAAAACAACCCTCCACCACTACACTCTGCCTCCTACCTTCAAACCAATTCTGTATCTAACTGGCTAGCTCCACAGATCCCATGTAATCTAAGCTTACTAACCAGTCTACCCCTCGGAATCCTGTCCCGCCCGAATCGATAACATCCACTGCTCTGCCTTCATCAATCTTCTTTGTCACCTCTTCGAAAAACTCAATCAAGTTAGTGAGACATGATTTCCCACACACAAAGCCATGCTTTCCCTTCACGTAGGAGCACAGTAACCATAACAGCACTGGGTTGGGTGTAACCCCAAAGGCAGACAGACTTTGAGATTCAATTAGTGAGCCAGACTGGATGGTCAATCATGTACAGTGCTTTGGTATTCTACAGATCTGCATGGTTTACGTATCAGATTACCCAGTTTCCAAATGTCTATCATCTAATGTCAACTTGGTGTTACTTTGACCTTAGAATGCTGTACAAGAACAAAATAACTTGTTACTCAAAGAATCTACTTTTGATATGTACAGTTATTTAGACAAGCACTTTAAAGGTGATGTTATTGGACTATCGCTAGCAATATAATATTGCAACCAAAGCAAAACCAGAAAAGGTATAAATATTCAAAATTTCACACTAATGACATTGAACAAATAGCTGATGTAGCAGGATTTAAAAGTCAATAAACGTGAGCATACATATCGCAATGTTCCACTCATGAATGACTTTGGTGTTTGTAATAATCAAATCTTCTTCATCTTGTACATTCACCTTCCACTGGGCATGTAGAAATATTGTATTATGATTCTCTTTACAAACTCAAGTGCACTATGTTTACTATACCACCTTTCCATTCACTCATTCATAAAACCGCTTTGTTATACCACATTTTATAAACTAAATTAAACATCCCTTCTAACCTATTACTGTTTCTTTACACCTCGCCATTCTTAACAGCCCATGCTCTGAGCAGTGTTTCTGCATCAAAAGCTACCCCTGAATAAGCGTTAATACCGTAACCCACACAGAACAACACATATCCCACCATCTTGTCTCCATAACCCACTCAAAGAAAAGATTATAATATTAATTAGCCCTTAGCAACCATCACTCAGGACCTGAATAGGTTGCAGGCATCAATTTCCTCCACTAGTATGTATTTTTTAAGATACATATTAAATTGGGCCGCTATCCTTTATGAAACTTACTATCAAAACAGCACTTCTGTGAAACTGCATGAATGAATGTGCAAGAACTGTCAAAACCAGCAATTGTAGATGAAATCTCACAACCCAGCTGCGGGAGATCAGTCTAATATCCTCTATGCTTTTATTTAGTACACGTATAATTTCTCACCTATTTAGGTCATATAGGTCAAGTATTTTTACTAATATTACTAACTTTAAAGACAAAAGAACTAACAGCTCTTGATTATGCAAGCTCAGACTGGACAGATATTCTAATCTCATCAGGAGTAACAGCCAGCATTTAGCAAGTGCTTAAACTATTTCCTGCTCCCCCAGGAGAAATGTCATGCAACCATTTGTGTACAATAGATACGGTTGTGTAACACCATAGTGTTAGAATTTTAATGCATGTAAGAACCTTGTATAAAGAGGCTACTGTAAGAACTGTACTTCGAATTGCATCATCGCCTCAAACTGTGCAACTACAGATGCTGAATAAAGAGGCTACTTTCACCACTCACCAATTTCGGTCGTTATTTGAACACGATCCCACAGTATAAAGAGAAGTTTCAAATTAACACTTACAATTTCCGGATACGGTTCAATGTTTCTGTGTCTTTAGACATCATATCTGCTAATATGTGCCGAATTCCTGTCTCTATTTCTCCCACATTTGAAAGACCTAGGAATTTTCAAGCATACAATTAGAATTATTTGTTGCAATTTACCATTTTCTCTTCTCAACCTCATTTCTCTTCTCTTGATTCATTGACTCCTATTGCTCACCAACGCCTCAACTTAGTATCAACCTTCTATACACAGGACTATATAGTAGGCATGTGTTGGTTATTCAATCAATCATGAGTGGTACGCTTCCTGTGCCCAATGCTATCCATCAAGCAGAGGGATGAGTGGCAAATGCTGTCATTTTAAATATAGAGGCTAATTGTAACATCGCTGCTATCACGTCAGCTAACAATCAAAATCAAGAAACTAATTTGGGACCTTTTGCCTCTGCCCTTATCAAAAGAACAATTAAAATATGAATATTCGTAAAGTGACCACAAGTATTTGAAATAGGACAGTGGTTCCAATTAAAGAACTATCAACTTAGTAATGATCATTTGGGTGAAACAAAATAGCACAGCTACAATTTCCAAAAAAAATTAAGATTATTTGATTGCAACACATCTTTTACGTCTTAAATGGCAAGTTTCTCTTGGGTACCCATAAACAAGAGATTCTGCTGCAACAATTATGTTTTTATAAAAGCAATTCAGTGGGTCAAAAGGTCTCCTTAAAGTTGTAAATTCATTCTAGTTCACGGAGAGGTATACGCCATCAAGAGAACATTGGGAAGGAGGATTTATTTTAGAATTCCCACACAAAGAGCTGGCACAGACAAGATGGATCAAAATGCCTCCTCCTTTGTTGCAAATTGGTAATTAACTTCTAAGTCCCAAATAACAAATCACATAACAGAAGCGACCATAATTCATAAAAGAAAACTGGAAACAGCTGCTGATACAAAAAGGTACATAATTTAATGTCAAAATACTGTCAAAATTAAATAGTTCTTTAATGCACAACTATTACAGTCAAGGACAAATCCAAAAGTTGTTGTCCTAGATATGTCACTCCAGCAGGAGCTTCACAAAAGCTTTGTGCATTTTTACTGCAATTCACTGAACATCATGAAGTTAATCTAATTGCACTCAGGGCAGATACAAACTAAACACAAAGTTAAACCTTGTCCATCTCGGCCTAAATACCTTGTTAATAAATTGATTGGCTTTAATTACTGCCAATGAAAATTAACAGTTACAAACATTTTAAATAAAAACATTTTAAAGGAAAATTTTAAAAGCTGGTCATCAGCTTTGAATTTCGGCAACTTGCCATGCAAAAGTTTTAAAACCTTAAAACAGCAAGTTTAACTGTTGATGCCGTTAGATGCCCTACCACAGTAAATAAAACCCCATGCAAAGTTGTCCACTTCATTAACTTTTTTCTTGTCACATTGATAGACAGTAGATAGTGAATTTCCAGAATTACAAGCATCTTTTCTGAGAGCAAAATTCCTGAACATATAACAGGATGGAAGAAAAATATATCTAGGTTCCATATATTATATTCTCTGAGAAAAGACATGTGGAGTTCATTTTATGTATACTCAAATGCATAAACTTTAGATCAACCAGATTTTTGTTCCATGTAATGGAAGTAGACATTATGCAGTGCACTGTGAACTCTGAAATACAAATCTACAGGGAGAAAAAAGTTTCAATCACCCATTTTATGGATTGAAAGACTAATAGGATATGAAATGCTGAAAAAGAAATGTCCTATGCAGAATCCATTTCATGTCAAGTTGAAACTTTTTACTTGGAACATTACATTATAGGCAAAAAAAAAAGTAGACACACAACTTATTTAGAATTTCAATCTACACGCAAGTAGTAACACAGGCACAAAATAAAATCTTTGGCATCATGTTTAGAAAGACCAAGTCATTTCTAAAATAAGTGAAAATTTGGAAGGTTCAGTCACTTTCATACACTGACACAGGCTAGCTACTGGCAGGAACACAGGGGTCACCAAGAAACTCCCTTGTCACCTATCATGCCCAACACCATTGCCCCTGCCAAAACTTTGTGCCCTAGTCTTTGATTTAAAACCCCTCTGATCTCAAGTAGACCAAGACCACGACCACATATAGCATGACTGCTCAATTCAAACAATGAGCTTCCAACTCTGCATCATCCCTATGACAAAGAATTCCATATCATCCACCCACCCACTTCCCAAGACAGACTAATCCCTAGACTTTTTCTTTTATGCACTTCCCTTCCTCTCAAGTCCATCACTGGAAATTATCTGGATGTCACATTTTGTTCTTCCTTCCTTAAATTCCTACGCTTTCATTCATTTTTAAGAGATGCCCTCCAAAGCCACTACTTTGACTTTTTTTTGGGCTCTGTCCATTTTAGCAGGGTGCACCTCCACGGTGCATTTTCTAAAAAAAAATATTAAAGGCAATCTTGCAAAGAGAAATTAAAGCACGTTAAATGATACAAATATTGACCAGGTGAGAAAGAGAACACTTTTCAGTGCCCAAAGTTGATGGTAATATCGTGTCTATCAAATCGAACAACACTTTAAATAATTACACAACTGGAGCTATTTTATCTCCTTGTAATAAATTAATTTCAAAATACTTCACCCTAGCCTCTGCACTATAAACAAACAGTCCAAATTTTAAAATCCTCTCTACTTTAAAAATACTTTTTAAACAAGTTTTCAAATTCAATTTTCGAGCTGTGAAATTCAAGCTTCCAATTTTTGAGGAAATGATGCTAACTCAGTAAAATGCACTAACATACTGGCAATAACATAAAGAAACCTCCCAAGGCACTTCATAGGAAGTTTACAGCCCACCACATGAGGAATTAGAAAAGGTGACCAAAAGCTTGGTCTAAAAGGTAGATTTAAGGAACTTCTTAAAAAGAGAAACAGGGAGCTATACAAATTGATTTCTGAAGCTTAGGACATAAACAGCTGAAGGCACTGACAATGGTGGGGCACTGAAAAGGCCAAAATTGATGCAGCAACAAGAATTCCAACACAACAACTTGTAGTTTATATATAACACATGACCCCTAATAAAACATGCAAGGGCAATTCACAGAGGTTTATGAAAACAAAATATGATATCAAGTCACAAAAGGGCAGATCAGTCAGTCAAAAAGGAAGGTTTTAATCAGTGTTTTAAAGGAGAAAAATTATGTTGGGAGGTTCACAGAGGAGGTTCAGAGTTTAGGGCTTAGATACCTGAAAGCACAATCATTATGGTACAGAATTAAAATCAAGGATGCTTAAGATGCCAGAATTAGAATAGTGTAGGTATCTCAAAGTGCTGGAAGATTGGAAAATATTATTGGGGTAGGAAGGATCGAGGTCACAGAAAGATTTGAAAAGAAAAAGATGAGATTTTTAAATTCTAGGTATTACTGCAATATTCACCAGCAGGCATAGGGGTAAAATAGATGAACAGAACTTGGTTAGGGTACGGGAAGCAGAATTATGTATGAGCTCAAGTTTGCATAAGGCGAGAAGTTTGGAGACTAGCTAGCAGACAGACTGAGGCCTGGGTATAGCCAGGCAGGGTTCCAGAGTTGGAAGCTGACGGTTTGCGACAGTGTGGACATAGGATCCGAAGGTCATTGAAGGGTCAAATATGATGCCAAGGTTGCAAACAGTCAGGGTCACTCACACAAAGTAGCAAAGTAGAATTATGGAGTTTGCAACTGAAATTAAATGCATAAAAACGCATAGAACAATTGTTTTTACTTAGCTCTTCAAATTTAACCTCAATTACAAGGGTTTTCCATATTTCTTGCAACTTGTCAATAAAAGTAAGCAGAGATGTCAGTGGGAACTGGGAAGGCTCAACAAATGGAAGGCAAGAAATTATACAACTGCTCAGAATGCAGACCTGTTTTCTTTACTCAGTGAAAGGCTTTTGCTCACAGGACTTGTTACTCCTGCCATTATTAGCACCAATAAATTTTCATCTTCCTATCATCACCCAACTACATTCCTCATACACTCAGTTCATACAGTCATACAGTCATATAGCATGGAAACAGACTCTTCGGTCCAACTCATCCGCACCTTCCAAACATCCCAGTCTGACCCAGTCTCATCATCTGTTGACGATACACTCAACTATGCCTCTGCATTTGTAGACCTAACTATTCCCAAACAGTCCTACATTCTACCCTCTCTATAACCTAAGGTAATTGAAAAACTCCACTGCCGCTCTCTTAACTCATTTCAAGCACTGTTCAGCTATCACTTCTGCACTAGCGAGCTTACTAGGCTGTGAGCCCACGCAACGCTTTTATTTCAAAATTCTCTCATCATAGAGTCATGGAGTCATAGACAACAGAAGAGGACCTTCAGCCCTTCAAGTCTGCGCCAACCTATCTACACAAGTCCTGGTTTCCAGCACTTGGCCCATAGCCTTAAATTTCATGACATTTCAAGTACTTACCACATACTTTTAAAGGTTGAGGTTTCCCGCCCCTACAGCCCTCCCAAGTAGTGCATTCCAGATTTCTATCAACCTCTGGGCAAAAAAATACTTTCCTCAAACCTCCTCTAAATCCTGTGCCCTTGTAGAAAGAGAAAGAGAGTTAACCTTTCAAGTCCAATATGATCTTCTGTGAAAGTGAGCATCATTTCGGTAAGTTTGGCTTGGAGGGATGCAGGGAGTATGAAGAAAGCAATACAGCAAAATGAGTAGGGATCTTAACCTGAAGAAGTCCAAGATCTTGAAATTATGAGTAGTTTTGGCAGTCAACAGCAATTTATGCAGTCCAGCCAAAGCTGCCAATGAGTGGCTAATCCAGCCTGTCCATGTTTGCAGCCGCTCTCGACTTAAAGGAGTGGAAATGACAGTCATGACAGAAGGAACAGAAGTGTTTTAATTAGGACGGGGGTATAAAAAGTGCAGATGAGATTGCAAGTGCGTAGTTTGTTGACTTGGGAAGAGTTTCTCTATCCCTGTTTGAGCACGTGGGCGGGTGTGATTTGTGTGATTAGTAAAGGAGAAATACATCTAAAAGGGATACTAATTTGAAATACAGAGAGAGGTTGGTCATCAATCTTTCTTCGAAATTTAGAGATAGCATGGAGACCAAAAAAAGACTGGTTAAAGAAAGGCAAGAACAGGGGCTGCCAATCTGGATTATTACAGAACAGCCGGAAATGGGGCTCAAAATCTCAGTTCTGCACACGGGAAGAGCTTGCAAATACAAAACAATACTCATCACTATGCTCAAAAAAAGTTTAGAATTAATTCTAAGATGTCATTGCAAAAAAGGCAAGTAGCACTTGCATCAAGCCAAGTTAAACATTCTTCATATAACAAAAGAAATAAACAGAATTCCATTATTTCTCCGCAGCAACGTATTCTTGTGTTATACAATGGCCAATGCTTTCCTGTTGATGAACAAATGATACTCTTGGAATGAGCCTCACAGAGTCACTGTGACAAAATGGCAGCCAAATTTCCAAGAATCTGTCCAATTGGATCAGTGTAAACTGAAAACTTTTTTTGAAATTTCGTCTCACCACAATACAGTCGAAAATGTGCAGGGTGAATAATCGGTCCAATTCAACTTTAGTATATTTTACTTACCATACGTTACAGCTGTTCTGAACTACAAAAATCTTTACTGGCTCTATACAATTTTCTTGGCAGTAATGTTAAGAACTAAACTAACTACATACAAAGCCAAAATTCTTAAATAAAAATGCATCTGGGTACATACGTCAGTTTTCTTTTCCTAAAATAAGAGTCAATCTTTTATTCAGTGTCATAAACTTTGATCCCTATTTGATTTCTACTGTATTAGCAAACTGATGTTAGACGCCCTTATTTTTCTCAGATTTTACAGTTTGATCTACAGCTGACTGATAGCATTAACCTTTTCTCTGTGCATCAACTGCATTAATTGCCAAAGACTGACCCCTGGTGGTGTATCTATATAAAATAATTCTAACATGAAATGACATAAAACTGGACACTCGAATCATTATTTGACAAAATTGGGAAAATTGTCATTGCAATAGCACCAATAGGAGGCACCCAGATAATAATTAAGTAAGGAAAAGGAGCTAGAGTAGGTCACACCTTTCCCAACAGTCAAAACCAAAATGGAATAAAAAAGCAGGAATAAATACTTGTGCTACTACTGGTATTCTTTAGCAATTTTAATAAAGCGAAACATCCCAAGACATTGCACAGAAAAAGTAACAAAGAAACTTTGTCATTCAGTCCTAGAAGTAGAAAGATGATCAAAAGCCATCTGGAGAAGAACCATCTGAACACCATGAGCGAGACAACTTGAAACAGTAACTGCTTCTTAACAGGAAGGCACCCAGGACAAAAAGCAGTTAATGGTCTGGTGTACTGAACCAGGCTACCAAGAGCCACAGCCTAGAGCCATAAGAGCAAAGCAAAGAAGCCTTCACTCACTTCCAGGGCCTGTTTTGCCACTTAGTCCTACTGTGGGAGCAACCTTCAACTATTTGACTACAGAATCCAGCATAGCTATTGCTTGACTTCAAGTTTCACCCCTTCAGTTCAGAAAGGGAAGCTTCAAGCAAGTTGAGTCTGCAATGATAATAGCAACTGATCTCCTTTTCATCTTCAGACGTTACTTTTATCCTTATTTAAAATCTTTGCATGAATATTTTCCCTAATTACTGTCACTTTTTTTTAACTCAAGGAACTTTCAGCCAGCTTCGATCACAAACAAATTGGCTGCAAATCTTAACTGTGATGACTGGCTGTTCCACAAAGCAGTGTCAAATATACTGGAATTCCTTGTGATTTACCTGCTGTCTCCTGTTCAGCACTACAAATGCTTCGAGTCTTCAAACGTCTTGAGGGTTCAACAAACAGTCCTGGGATCTTTGCATTATTTAATTACACTTTGTAATCAACTCTTAAGACAACAGTCTAATTGTCTGCTTTTGGTTGCAGTTGAATCCATGAGAAGTCACATGGCTTTCAGGAGCCACTTTGTAAGAACTCCTAATGTCTATTTTAAAGACAAATTAGCTTTCTTTGTAAGTATGTATAATTTTACATTCAGCAACTCATTTCATTATTACTGCCAAGCACATCTATTCCTCCATGACAGTCAACCTGACACGATTAATTAGGTGGAATTAACAGCCATTCACTTTGTCAATTCCCGTAGCCAAACTTATATCAGCATTAGTTTTTTTTTCTGCTGTCTGTCTGCCAAGTTGGGGTGGCACAGTGGCTCAGTGATTAGCACTGTTGGCCCACAGCGCCAGGGGCCTGGGTTCAATTCCAGCCTTGGGCAGCTGTCTGTGTGGAGTTTTCACATTCTCCCTGTGTCTGCGTGGGTTTCCTCTGGGTGCTCTGGTTTCCTACTACAGTCCAAAGAGGTGCAAGTTAAGTGGAGGACTGCCATGCTAAATCGCCTTGTGTTGTGTATGCAAGGTGGGTTAGCTATGGTAAATGCAGGGTTACAGGGATAGGGTGGGGGGTGTGTGATGCTCTTTGGAGGGTCTGTGCAGACTGAACAAACTGAATAGCCTCTATCTGCACTGTAAGGATTCTATGATTCTAAATCCCTCCTCAATGCTCCTGCCTGCTGGCTCACTCATCCTTCACTTGTTTCCCTCTCTGAAAGGGAGTTGCATGGTCAGCATTTTAATGGGAATGAGGTCAAGGGAGCAGGTGGTACACATGATGAATTCAGAGAGCTCAAAAGGGGTTATAGGAGTAAAACTGGTGGGAGATCGGTGTTCTACGCCAAAAAAGGAGGAACCTTAGAGGGAAGGGGGCAAGAAAATCAACAAAGGCAAGAGATGAGGTAGTCTCAATCTTAGTGAAAGGAATTCGTGAGCTCTTTGCTCTTGCTGGCGACAAGGGTAGATAGCTTTAAGAAAATATTCAAGAGATCCTTGAATAGTGAGCAGCTTTGGCAGACAAAATCAGCACCCAATAAGGCTTTGCGATCCAGCATGATTGGACAGAGAATGGCTAAATAAGTTGTCATCCATATCTGTTCAAATTTGTGTCTTAGATTAGTCAGTTGGAGTACGTGGTTTTCTCAGAGTTGACCAATTTGATAAGGAAATTCAAATGGATGAAATTAAATCCTTCACATAAATAAATCATTTTTTGAACCGTGACTATTATGCAGGCAAATGGAGCAATCTGTTAGGGCAGAGGAAGGTCAGTCTAAACTGACTTTGCATTGTTATTGCTAAAGGAATACCATCCAAGAGAACTCCCAATGTTTTTCTTTGCATAATGTCTTTTAAAAATTATAGCATCCATCTGAACCACAAGATACCAGATAAACTGTGTATCCAACAGACACAAATATGAAGGACAAGATAACTAGATAAGACTACAGTTTATTTTCACATTCAAAACACATCTTCAATAATACATCAGAGATAGTAGGAACTGCTGATGCTGGAATCTGAGATAACAAGGCGTAGAGCTGGATGAACCTGCTGTGTTCATCCAGCTCTACACCTTCAATAATACATCAGATCTCTTTGACACACTGAAGTGAAAGCTCAGATCCTGGTCTTGAATGCACTAAAATTAAGAGACCTATATTACAAATGTATATCCTAATTGCATTGTACAAATTATTTAGCCGGGTACACTTATCAACCTTCTCCCCAGTTTGTATTGCAACAAAATAGAATGGTCCAACTCTACTGCTCTATTTCCAGAATAGCCTTAACTTTCAATTATAAATGCAGCAAAAACCAGTGCTAAAATAAAAGGATTATTTAAATATTTAAAATCATGATGGCATCCACACATCTAGGTCCAATTCATCCGACTCCTTAAGCACTTCATTTTAGTTTTGCTTTGTCTCAACTCGTTGCATGCAATTCCTCATGATATTTCACAATGTAAACAGCTCTACCTATAGCAGAATACAACTTTCGCAGCTGTATTAGAGCTTAAAGGAAAATCATTATTTATTAAAATATATACAAAATAATTAAGAGTCTATGATAACTGTTCTGACAATGATACTTCAAGCTTCCTGCCATCCGCACATCCCTGCCACTTAAAGTGAAATCCAAAATGAACGTGAAGTCAAAAACTCACCTTTTACATTTGTTTTAATGTAATTATTGAGATTAAGTTCTCCCGGACGGTCAATCAGTAGATTTGCTGCAGGTTCTAAGCCAAGCTGACGTGCCTGCTGAGCTTTTGTCTTCTTACTTCCACTTTTATAAGGAGCAAACTGAAAACAGATAAGCAATGACTTAGACAAATGCAAATAGTAACTCAAGCATATAAATTACAAGTTATGTCAAAATATAAAATACCTTGTTAAAAGAAAATTTAGAGAAGAGGCAAGTAAAGCACTGGGTTGGGTTAGCAGATCATAAAGTACAGAACTAAAAAGGTTATAAGGTTTTGTAGTCTAAAACTTGAATATTGCCAAGATGAGAAACATGTTGCCAAAGCTTATGTTTTACACTCAGAGAAAACTTAAGGATGTCAAATTTCAAATGAACGTAACAATTTATACCAAAGGATAAAGAGTTGCTCAATGCTTATCAAGTCAACTCTGATTGGCTGAAGCATTGCCATGGAGAAAACAGCTGCAAACTATAGGATCTTCAACTTCCCAGGTAATTCAGAAAACATATCCCTAAAATAAAACAAGGAACTGTGAGTGCTGAAAGTCTGAAATAAAAAACAGAAATTTCTGGAGAAACTCAGCAAGTCTAGCATCTGTGCAGACGAAGCTGAGTTAACGTTTCGGGTTCACTGGCCTATTCTAAAGAAGGGGAGTTGTGTAGTGGCACGTGCTACAAGACTGGCCTCTTCAGCAATCCTGTAAATACAGCCTTAGCCATCTGCTCATTTGCAAGCTTGGTTCAGAAATAGAGCCCACCAACCCTATCCTGAGTGGCAATAGCTATTCTGATTAATAACTGCTTACTGTGAATCATGCAAACTCATGAATGGGCCAAACACCACCACTTTCAAACCTGAAAGTTGCCCAGTCTACCTCAAATTGCCCTGAAAAGACCACATATCTCAAAATTTAAACTAAGCAAGCTATTTCACAATATTGCTGGGTGGTGTCTATGCAAATGGTATTTTTCCTTAACAGAAGCTACTGTCAATCCCAGAACACATTTTGCCTACCACACAATTAAGCAATGTCTTGTATGAATTGCAATCCCAGTGTAATGGCAGGTGTGCAGGCTGCATATCCTGGCAATCCACTAACTCTATCAAACAGCATATTCCTTTAGTTGTTCACAATAGGCAGGGTGGTGACCGCATTCAACTGGCCCATGTTTGCAAAAACTAAAATAAAATGTTTGCTGTTCAATGTGATTCTTCAATTGGGCAACACAATGAACAATCCAAAGTATGGTAACAACTATACCACCAACTAATGCAAGATAATCAGTCACAATCATCATGTGGGTCATTTACACTTGCTGAAAGTAACATGCACTCAAGCTCGGAGATCCATTCTCTGTAAACATGAGAAATATACTCAAGTGTTTTGTAGTATATTTTGTTGTGATTATTTGGAATTCTTACTTGTGCCATGGTGAACAAAGTGGTTATCGTTATTACTTAAAAGTATTACACAGTTCCCATTTGTAGTTCTAACCGCTAATCAGAAATGCGAAAACAATTCAAAAGATCAGAAATGTAAATTCAGAAGAAGAAAAGTGTTGGAAATTTATTTTGTAAAACGGCTGGGCAGTTTTGTGTGATTCAACTGAAGCCGAATTTGAATCAATCAAATGTAATTTAGACAAATTGTTTTGAAACTAGAGGTTCACAAATTAAAAGAAATGAAAAGAAATGAATCAGGAATAAAGTGAATGTTCTAAATTAACTTTTATTTTTACAAAGGTTATAAAGCAAATTCCTTTAGAAATGTACACTAACAAACCAACTATTTTACTAACCACATGTTCCACTTCTTCCACAGTCTGGCAGTTCAACAAAGTTTTATTTAAAAATGGTGTAAGTTTTTCATCTTTTGCTAGTTTCTGGATGGCTGTGTGCGCTTTCTTTATTACTGTACTAAAAGAAAGAAAAATAAATACCTTTAGTAAAATCATGAGGACTTTACACAAAAAGTGGGCTATGCAACTGAGTCCCATGTAACAGGTAATTTAATAAAACACAACTTGATCTAAAGATTGCTGACAGCACAAAAGACTTGGTTGAAACTCTTCAACGCCCAAACTGGGTAGGTATTCAGCTGCTGAAAAGGGTTTTTCCAGATACTCAGGAGTCAGGGGTGGGGATCAAGATGATGAGAAGAAAAAGATTGTGCAGTGTGCCATCTTCTGGTACAAGTTGAAACAACTACAATATCCAGAAAATAGCAGTCAGCCACTGCAGAAGAATGTCAATATCTGATTCATCTTCTGCCTCAAAGGTTCTGACTTTCACTTCTATTACTCAAAACTGCAGCTTAAGAAAACCAAACGTTTTCAACTTATTATCACAAAAAGCTGCTCATTTGAATTATATTTTGTAAGGTAAAGGCCACTCTTGCATTGCATGCAACCAAAATCAATTCCCATGCATTACGAACACAAATGCTAATGTTGCTACAGATGAATTAAAATATCTCTAAGTTATCTTTTTGAAGTTTATAGATTGTCAATCCTTCTATCCTAACATGCAATTAAAACCAGAAATAACATAACATACTGAGGAAAATTAACCCAAGTTCAAAATGATAACATTCTTATAACTAGATCCAAAACTTTATTACTGCGCTACAGAGATTTCATCTCCATTTGTTCACGCTAACAGAAAAAGTAGGCAAAACCCATCTAATACTAGCTTTTAGAATTATATCTGCAACTATAAGTAATTATTTCTCAAAAAATTCCCAAAGAAGCCATACTTGTGGAACAAAAAAGCGACTGGAGTTTTGTTTTAAGGGAGGACATAGTACGTTTCTTTATTGCTCAAGTTTCTTACGTCAATTCTTCAAGTGTCTGTTGTACTTCTCGCAAAGTATCAGCATCCATGTTATTGGTAAGCTCTTTTCGATATCGGGCAATAAATGGAATAGTGTTTTCTTCCTTAAATAGACGAATGACGTTTGCACAGGCCCATGCATCTGTATTTGTCCTCTCAGACAAAACCTAGAGATACAACAGGTTCTATTAATGCATCTATCGGGCTCAATTAACACTGAGTCACACTGGAACACCCATGATTGTTTTCTTAGATTAGAAGATTATTGAAAACATGTAAACTTCTCATGGTATCATAGATGGTAGGTCAGTAAAGAGTAATTGGCCCAATGCCCCATTGCATGTGCCTTTCTTTACAATGATGAGATCTACAAGATTAAATTTAAAGATGCCAGTGTGTGTATGGAGGAGGTCAAGTGACCTGTTCTGAAGTCTGCCCAATAGTCAGCCTGGATAATTTGATAGTTAGAAGTCTAAGGAATGTAGATTATACACTGTGAAGATGATGAAAGATATTTATATTTGAAGACAATGGCAGTAGGCTCTGAGTTCACAAGGAATAAATACTGAATCTCCTAACATCCCAGAAAGGTGTTGCAAGTTTTGGTTCTAAACAGCTGTGCTATAAATTATCCATTTACTTCTATGACAAAAGCAACTTGGTATTCAGGGTAGCTAATTAGTATTTCTACATGAACAGAAGGATAATGTATTTTATATTTTTTGAGGAACAGAGCAGAGGAAACCAGTTTTCAGATCAGTTTATCGGCTACACTACAAATAAACGAACAGATAGAGGTTCTGTGTGGTCAACAGAAAAAGGCACTTGGCCTTGTGAGCTACAATAGCCAAATGCTAGAGGATTATCTCTAATGAAAATCCACATCCTGCAGTCTTCTCCAACTTCTGGGACACTCATTCTGACATGGCCACAGGTGAGAAGAATCATCAGAACAGGGCTTTACTGCTGGTGGTTAATTTAAGAAACCCTTCAAAAGCTGAGGAAGATGCCCAGAGAGTGTCAGGCAAAGTTACAACTTGGCAAAACAGGGAAAATGGGAAGCCACTCGAAACAAAGAACAATTGTGAGCTATTTGCTAAAAGGGCTAATTCTACAGACAGCACAATAGGTAATAGTTTATATAGGGGAATGTCAAATTCTGTAAAGTCCAATTTGTTAGCAATAAGTTAAAAATGTTAAGTCTAGGCACATCATTCTTTCAGCTAACAACTGGAAGTTTGAAGCTCTTAAAAAGAGATTGTAACACTGGCTCATCCCAAACTCTCCCACTCTTTTCCACCACAGCCCGAGTGTAATGAAAAGAAAAAGATCTACCCAGTAATTTACCGATTTATGTAATACTTGGGCTATTCTAAAAAGTGAGATTACCAATGAGAGCACTATTTTTGAGCCAAATGTCCATTTCCTGGAATCACACAAAGGCTTCCCATTCCTAGCAACAGTTTAACAACAGAGTAGTGTGCAGAAATCAAACAGATGGGGTATTGGGAAGACCTTAAATGGAACGTGCTGCCGAAATGTACAGGGGTTAAAATCCAAAGTGACCAGATTCAGAACAAATGAGTTTGAAAGGATACAACCCAAGAGGTTTTTTTTTTTAAAAGCAGTATTTTTTGGATCCCTTATTTATTCATTCATTTACGGGATCAGGGCGTCACTGGCTAGGCAGCATTTATTGCCCATCCCTAATTGCCCAGAGGGCAGTTCAGAGTCGACCCTAATGCTATGAGTCTGGAGGCCAGTAAAGGTAAGGATGGCAGTTTCCTTCCCTGAAGGACATTGGTGAACCAGATGAGATTTTCCGACAATCGACAATGGATTCCCGGTCATCAATAGATTCTTAATTCCAGATATTTTATTGAATTCAAATTCCACCATCTGCCTTGGCGGGATTCAAACCCAGGCCCCAGATCAAGACCTGGGTCTCTGGATTAACAGTCCAGCAATACCACTAGGCCATCACCTCCCCATGGATGCAGGTAACCATGTCAAGTTGGCATTTGTCCTTTCGTGATATCCACAAGTTCATTGAAGCTTAACTGGTTGATGTGAACACCCAACCCTCAGAACTACTAGGTCCACTACATAACCAATAAGCTATAGCATCTGTTGTAAGGGCATGTTATGGCAGGGAAAGGCATGGATTAATTTAAAATCAAATTGTAGCTTTCATTTCGAGGCAGTGCTAGAAATCGAAAGCCAATTAATTAATTTTATTGTCAAGTGTACCGAAATACACTGAAAAGCTTTGTTTACGAGCGGTACAGGCAAATATCAGCAAGCAAAGAATGTACAGAACAAAAAGACTTAGGAGCATGCAGGTTACATTATTTAAGGCTAGAGTCCATTCAACATTCTGATGACAGCCAGAAAGAAGATATTCCTGAACCTGCATAGTTAGTTCTTGGTTTTATGCTGATGAAACCCTGCTCTCTCTCTCTCTCTCAAATCAGGAAATTATTTGGCACAAACAAAACATGGAATGGACTAACAAATTTAGTAATTGAAGCAATGAATACTGTAGGGACTCGCATGTTGGTTAAGCAGGGATGCAACAAATGTCCCTCTCATTTTATAATATTCTGTGAACTGAATACTAAAGGCAATTCTCGTGCACGAAACAAATCTTTTTAAAAAACGCTTCAGAATACTGAAAACAGCTTGAGTTTTATGTTCCTTGACAATAATACCAATCGTGTGCTCTAATTGAAGACAGGAACATAAATATTCTGAACATGAATAAACCAGTCTTTAAAGTGTGCTCCATCATTCATTAAGATCAAATGATGTTCATACCTGGGTTATATTCCAGTTCATCTGCATTTCCCCAATTTCTACACATCCTCGTTGTAGTTTTACTGGTTTGCCATCTGGATAATTCTCAGTCTTCTGCTTTTTCAAAGCTGGTTCCTCCCATGTGAAAGATATATCTGGTTCTTCCTTGATTTTCCTGTCACCCAAATGTGTGCTTGTTGATGGTTGCTCCACTTTAACCACACAATGTCCAATTTCTTTTTTTATTTGTATTGCAGGTTGCTGAGGCATCCGTTTCATGCTTTCTAAATCTTGCTCAGTTTGCAAAGGTAATTTATCTTCGCTGTTATTCAAAACTATTGGATGACTCTGTCAGACAAACAGCATGTGAGAGACATGCAGAGATGAAGTAATCATTTGAAAACATTCATGGTTTAGCTTTAACTCTCTACAAATCTAACCAACCAATTTCACTGCTTCTAAAACAAAAATCAAATCGACTACATTTTTATGTCCACGCGTTTGGTGAGAATGTCAACAATGATCTATAGCAACACAACTGAATCCTGCTCCCCTGTTATTCTTTTATCCCTTGCAATTCCCAACTCTTGAAACTACAAATGCCTAATTACAGTTCTTATCACAATCCAGTACATCATCCCAGCACCCGTTATATTCAATTGTGTGCTGATTCAACTATGGTGGAAGGGGAACAGGAACGTTACAACCATCCTCACTTATGCTCTCAATCAAAGGGGCATTTTTAAGAAAGAAATCAGGAAGGCAAAGAGGAGATATGAGAGAGTATTGGCAGATAAGGTTAAGGATAATCCAAAGAGATTCTACAAATATATTAAGAGCAAGAGGGTAACTAGAGAAAGGGTAGGGCCTCTTAAAGATTAAGGACGTTATTTTTTGTATTGAAGCCCAGGAAATGGGAGAGTACTAAATTAATATTTACATCGGTTTTTACTGTGGAGAAAGAAATGGAGTCGAGGGAATGCAGAGAAGTGAACTTTGATGTTTTAAAAACAATTCACATTATGGAAGAGGAAGTTCAGGAGGTCTTAAATATAAAGGTGGCTAAACCTCTGGGACCTGATCTAACGTATTCCAGAACACTGAGGGAAGTAAGACAGGAAATTGTGAGACCCCTTGCAGAAATATTTGCATCATCTATAACTACGGGTTAGGAGCTTGCTAATGTTGTACCTTTGTTTAAGAAAGGTTGTAAGGAGAAACCAGGGAGCTATAGACCTGTGAGACTGACTTGGGTTGTGGATAAATTGTTGGCGGTGATTATAAAAGATAGGATTTACAGACATTTAGAGAGGCAAAAAATGATTAGGGATAGTCAGAATGGTTTTGTGTGAGTTTTTTGAGGAAGTTACCAAAAATGATTGATGATGACACAGCAGTAGACATTGTTTACGTGGATTTTAGTAAAGCCTTTGACAAAGTTCCGCATGGTAGACTAATTAGTAAAGTTAGGTCACATGGGATTCAGAGTGAGCTTGCCAATTGGATACATATTTGGCTTAACACAGGAGATAGAGAGTGATGGTGGAGGTTTGCTTTTTGATCTGGAGGCCTGTGACTAGCGGTGTTCCACAGAGATTGGTTCTGGGTCTTCTTTTGTTTGAAATTTATATAAATGATTTTGATGAGAATATCGAAGGCATGGTTACTAAGTTTGCAGACGACACCACAATTGGCAGCATAGCAGACAGTGAAGAAGGTTTTCTAAGATTACAAAGGGATCTTGATCAAATGGATCAACAGGCTGAGAAATAGCAGATAGAGTTCAATCTGGAAAATCCAGCAAACAATGGTGGGGCTTATACAATTAATGATTGGGCCTAGGGCAGTTTTATAGAGCAGAGGGACCGAGGGGCACAGGTACATAGTTCTTTGAAGTTTGCATCACATACAGACAGAGTGGTTAAAAAGGCATTTGGCATGTTTGCCTTCATTGCTCAGTCTTTTGAGTATAGGAGTTGGGAAATCATGTTGATGTGGTACATGAAGGTGGTGAAGCCTCTTCTGGGATACAGTGTCCAGTTCTGGTCACCCAGTTATGGGAAGGTTGTTATTAAGCTGGAGAGGGTTCAGAAGAGATTTACCAGGATGCTGCTGGGTATGGAAGGCTTGAGTTATAAAGAAAGGCTGGATAGGCTGGGACCTTTTTCACTGGAATGTAGGAGGTTGAGAGGCAACTTGACAGAAGTTTATAAAATAATGACAGGTACAGATACAGTTAATCGTAGTTGTCTTTTCCCTAGGATGAGGGATTTCAAGACTAGGGAGTACATTTTTAAGGTGAGAGGAGAGAGATTTAAAAAAAAAGGCAATTTTTTTTACACAGAGGATAGTTTGTGTGTGGGTACAATTACAACATTTAAAAGACATTTCGATAGATACATGAATAGGAAAGGTTTGGAGGGATATGGGCCAATGGCAGGCAGGTGGGACTAGTTTAGTTTAGGATTACGTTCGGCAATGGATTGGTTGGACTGAATGTTTTGTTTCCATGCTGTACGACTCTATCACTAAAAGCCATATACACTCTTCTAACAGGATTGCTGGAAAACAGTCAGATGTGGGAGCTGCAGAAATTTTCTCTTCACAATCTAGCGCACTGACAGATTAATGCAAACTGGAAATCAAATCAGAAACTCTGCATCGTTTAACTGGATAAACAGCAAGTTATTGGTGGAGTTTCCACGAGCACATTATAAAAGCGCAATGATCAAATCTGCATCATCTTACAATTTGGATCTTTCCACCATCATTCAGCATTTTAACTTTATTTATAATTGTGGTCAATTTTTAACTAGTTCAATTATTTTAAAGCATTTCAAAGTTGCAAATCTTTGTAAAAGTTATGTATCATTTATTATGTTGGGACATAAACCTACTTCAGCATGAACTAATTTTTAAAACAAAAAGATTAAACTGGGGTCACATGTTCTAATATGCTTGTGGGTATAGAGATAACCTTTAGCACCTATTTCCCTGAAGGTTGACAATGTGAATGCTTAACTTTATCATTTCCTTATTCATCAACCTTTTAACAGATCGTTGTTCGGTATGGTCTATATAAAGTGGAAATCACAAGTTTTGAAAGGTAACAAACCAGAAATGTTAACTCAGTTTTTGGTCAACATAGATCCTGCATGACCTGCAAAGAATCTCAAGCTCATTTTGATTTCAGTTCAGCTTTCTGGCATCTGCTGTATGCCTTTTTGACACAGGTTTTGATTCCTAGCTGTGTTATGTCAACCAATTTCACCAAGAACAACAATACATCAACTAGAAAGGAAATATAGAAGGTGAGAGCAGGGTGGTGGTAGGGGGACTGACAAATGCTTCCGTTCAGGAGTTTTTGCTGCAAATCATCAATTCTCAAGAAATGAGGGATAACAGCAAGCTTTGGATGAAAAAAAAAGTTCCAGCAGACATGCTTTTGTGTGCCAGAGTTCAGACGACTTGTAATATTACGACATTTGTTTATTCTGGTCACTTTCCCCACCCCACCATTAACTGAGATCTCTTTATATAAGCCACTAAACAAAAGCATGGTCGTCTCAAGATTTGTGACAGCCATTCTGAAGCAAATTGCTTGAAGTTGAATTAAAGAAGAGTTTGTCTCTGTTTTTTCACAATTTACACTTCACAAGAAGCATCTTTTACTTCCCAAAGATGACACAGCCAAGCTGAGAAAGATGGTTGCATGAACTTGTATTTTATCATTCCACAGGCACAATAGGTCAGTGCATTACCAGGGTGTCCAATATTAAATACGTTTTTCAAACATGACTGTGTATATTTCTTTACCATTACAGTAGGATCCACTTTGGTCTTTTCTGGTGTTTTTTTCCTGCTCTTTTTAACTGCTGTCTTTATCGTAGATCTTTTTACTGACGTTTTACTTGTACATGTACTTCCTGCTTCAGACTTAACTTTCTTTTTTGCTGTCACTGGTTTTGCTGTAGATTTCTTTGGCTTCCTTGCAATTTTATTTTTTGGAATCCATTCTTCCTCCTCCTCCTCTTCAGAATCAGATTCAGAACTTCTATATAAAAGATAATTATAAGCAATTCAATAGAAAATTAAGTCATATAAAAGTATACTTTCCACTCCATTCTCTTTCTTTTCCAAATGTGACACATGCTCAACCGCCATACTATACGCTGCAAAAGTTAACTCAAGTCACTTATTCTGGAGTTACAGCTTTAGAAAGAAACCATCAAGTCTATTCAACTGCAGAAGCATAGTCAAATGCAGTTGGACTGCAACGGTTCAAGAAGGCAGCTCACCACCATGTTCTCAAGGGCAACTAGGGATGGGCAAGAAATCCTGGCCAGCCAGCGACGCCCACATCCCACAAATGAATACAAAAAAAAATTATCCACGCCTATACTTTCCATCAACGGTTTCCTGAATCCTTTGTAAAAATTTTCACTTGCTGAATCAGAGTAACCAGGATAATTACTGCCAACTCAATTGATATTATCTAAATCAGAAAATCAGCCAGTGCATCCCCATCCTGAAAGCATACGTATTTTGCTTGGAATATTACTGGATAGTACAATATTAAAATTTTGTTTTTTTCTGCCCATTAGTATTGTAAAGAGTGCAAAAGAACAATCTACAATAATTCTTGGGTAATACTGCAAATCATTCCATTCTAGAATTCTATAATTTATTAATCATCTGCAGTACATCATCATAACCCAGTTCTTTAGCAGGTAAACATACCTCATTGTCAGAATGAAGCAAATATAGTTCAAAGTGCCATTCATTTCTTTCATTTGGGTTCCATGGTAATGGTCCCCAACATAAGTATTCACTACCTCTCCAAGCTCACAAAGAAACATCTGTCCCAATTTCCACATATAGGCCGTGGATATTGACCACTAGCTGATCCCAATCCTCCTCTCTCAAGTCTCTATAACAAAGTATCTTTACTCACAATTTATATATATTAAACAGAAGGCACTACTGCATGTTCATCTGCGTACACATATTGTCTATGACACAGCACATAATAGTCTAATGCCAGCGATCAGATGTCCCCCAATTTGGCTAATACCTTCATTCACATGTTGACTTCTACTTGTCCTGCCTGACCCATCACATAGTTCCCCACTGCCCACCTTTTATACAACATGCCTACCTAGTACTGTTCTTACTTTGATGCCCTAACTGCCCCTAGTCCCATCTCATGGAACACCTTTCATTCACCTTGGAGCATATGTTGGGATTTTGGGAGCACTTAGAAGTCATGTCAGTATCAGGGTAGCAGGGTCTTGCGGCTTTATTAGAGATTCCCAAGACAATGGGATCCAAACTAGCCCTGCTCAAAAAAATCAGCAGTATCAAAGTATCCACATATCACTTTATACACCTAAAACGTTTTTTGTGACATTAAACATCTCTTCCCCTTTTCCCTGCCATTTCCCACTACCTCAACAACCCGCAACTCTGACCAAAAAAAAGCATTTTTCATTGCCAGCCAGTTCCAATCTTTACATTACAGCTTTGTACATTGAGAATTTCTTGAAAGAAACTTGGGTGACTTTAGCCACAGGCCCCAGTGCTGGGGCCACAATTATTTACAATAAACATTCATGACTTGGATGATGTAAGTGAATGTATTATCGCAAAGTTCATAGATGACCAAAGATAGGTAAGAAAGCAAGTAGTAAAGATGAGACAGACAGTGTCTACAGACAGCTCAAGTGAGTCGGTAAAAATTTGACAGATGGTATATGTCAAAAAATTTGAGCTTATGCACTTCAGCAAGAAGAAAATAACAGAATATTATTTAAAACGGAGAAGGAATGCAGAAACGTGCAGCACAGAGGAATGTGGGAGTCCTCTTTCATGAATCACAAAGCTAACATCCAAGTTCAGTGGGCAATAGGGAAGGCAAATAGAATGTCAGTCTTTATTTCAGAGGGCATGGAGTATAATTATAGAGAGGCCTTGCTAAAATTACGCAAGGCTCTATTCAGATCACAGCTGGAATACTGTGAACAGTTTTGGTCTCTTTATGTAAGTAAACATATACTGGTATTGGAGGCAGCCCAGAGAAGGTCCATCAGGTTGACTGTGGGTGTGGAGAGGTTGAGTAGTTTGGGCTCACTGAGTTTAGAAGAATGAGAGGAGACCATATTAGTACATACAAGATTCTTGGGGAATACGATAGGATAAATGCAGAGAGATTGCTTCATGGTGAAACGGTGTAGATCCAGAAGGCAGAATCCCAGGCGAAGAGTCACCCTTTATGACAGAGGTCAGGACAGTATCTTCCCTCAGAGGGTAGTGAATCTGTGGAATTCTGTGGACTGGATCATTAAGTATATTCAAGACTGAGATACACAGCTTTTAATCAGTGAGAGAAACAAGGATTAAAGGGAAAATACAGTAATATGAAGTTGAGGATTATCGGATCAGCCACGATCTCGTTGAATGACAGAGCAAGCTTGATGAAGTGAATGGTTAATTTCTGCTCCTACATTTCATTGTCCAATCCTACCCAGTCAAATAAGTATATTTTATTGTTTTAAATATACGAATACAAGCTCATGGGCCAGGAGGAGGAAGGCTCTACATTCCAGTTCACAGGAATGTAGTGATACAAGTGCCCCACAAATTGCTTAGTTGTCTGGCTCTCACTTTCAGCCAGCTTTTATTTTCTGTAAAATTCAGGCATTCAGCTGACTGGGCCTCATACTGCTACATTGAGGGTGGTTGAGAAATTATACTCACCACATGCCAATTCCAGTCTAGTTAAAAATTGTCATTATTGTCAATGAATTTTTACAAAATAAAAATCTTGAAAATTCATAATTTAAGCAGTTTTCATCTGTCATGCATATAGGCAACCTTTAAACACGAAAATGTTAATGAAAAACATTTGATTCTTAAATGAAATAAAGGAGAAAGGCTTGTCAGATTGATAAGATTGGCAGTCTATCACAGCAGACCGATGCCGAAAGGTCTCGCAAATAGGTGCCATTCAGTTTTATCAAAACCAAAAGAACTGCAGATGCTATAAATCAGGAACAAAAGTACAAGTTGCTGGAAAAGCTCAGCAGGTCTGGCAGCATCTGTGAAGAGAAAATCAGAGTTAACGTTTCAGGTCCGGTGACCCTTCCTCAGAACGTTCTGACGTTAACTCTGATTTTCTCTTCATAGATGCTGCCAGACCTGCCAAGCTTTTCCAGCAACATCTATTTCCATTCAATTTTATGAAGTTTACATTTCAAAGAAAATAAATTAAAACATTCTAGTGTACTGAAAATCAAATGTTTAAATATTCATCTTGTAAAACTACCAGGTGGAATGTTTAAAACATGATTAACATTTCAACTGTTTGAAGAACTGCACTTACGCATTAAGAAATGAATCATCATCTTCTGAAAATGGTCGCTTTTGACTTAACTTTGTTATTCCCGACATCTGTAAATTAATTTGAATCAGTATCATTTTAATCTGGAAAAGGAAATTCATTTCACTCTAGTACAAGGTCTGCTGCCCAAACAAGCTAAGCAATGTAGCTTTGACATTGAAGAAGGTGCAAGATGGTAAGCTGTGCAATGAAAGTAAGCAAGCAAGCAACCCTCCATTACTGACACGCTGTGCTGAATTTGATGTTTGTATTTACCCGGTCTTTCTCCCCTTTCCTTCTTAAATAATGGAGTGTTAATTGCAATATTCCAATTCAAATGCACAATTCCCAAACAATGCATTTTGAAAATTCATCTTCAATATTTTCCTTTCAAAAGTTGCCTCTCCTCGCATGTTCTTGTGCCAGTTACCATTTTTATTTCTAAATTCTTATGAAAAAAAACTTTATAAATCACCAAATAAAATCACATCTAAGATCAAAATATTAAGTGCAGAGGTGAATTATTAAACTTGCTCCCCTAGAGACATTAATGTATTTCATTAATACATTACCTCCAATTTTTTGCTTGCAGGTCTCACTTAGGTATAAACCACTAAGGAAGAAAGCAGAAGGTGAATTTAAATTTTAAATGTAACTACATTTAAGATTTTAGACATTTTTAAATCAACCTGCTCAAGGAATCATGACACACGGACTCAGGTAGGACTTGAACCCAGGCCTTCTAACCCAGAGGTAGGAACACTGCCACTGGCTACAAGAGCCCAAGAACCCAGCTCTTAAGTATGTATATTTACAACAAAACCTTTGCAAACATCCGATAGTTTTTGCTGTTTAAATCAAGATATAGAAACCTGAGGAGTAACTTTTTCCACACAAAGGGTGGTCCGTACGTGGAATGAACTGCCAGAGGAAGTGGTAGATACAGATACAGTTACAACATTTAAAAGACATTTGGATAGGAACGGTTTAGAGAGATATGGGCCAAACACAAGCAGGTGGGACTAATTTAGCATCGACAAGTTGGACCGAAGGGTCTGTTTCCAAGCTGTATAACTCTGACTTTGTTAAACATCCATGTACAACAAGACCTGAACATTTAGGCTTGAGCTGTTAGTGGCAAGTGACATTCAAACTACAAAATGACCCCTGATTTCAACAGCACTACCATCACCGCAACACACAATCAACCTTGATGTTCATCAACACTACCACCATCAAATTCCCTCCTGTCTATATCCTAGTTATCCATCGACAATGCACTGAACAGGACCAGCCAAAAAAATGTGGCAACTTCAACAGAAGGCCAGTGAGAAGGAATTCTGCAGAAAGTTACTCACTTCCATTCTTCAAAACCCTCCTCCATCTAAAAAACCGAAGTCCAAAATGACGGAATGTTCTCCATTTGCCTAGAGTGCAGCTCCAAAAACACTAAGTAGCTTGATACTGTTCAGGAAAAAGCAGCCCACTTGATTGGCACCTCATCAAGCACTGGCGCACAGCTGCAATGTTGTCCAAGATGCACTGCAGCAATTCATTTAGCCTTCAAACCAACAATCTCTACTCCCTAGATGGTGAAGGGAATACCACCACCTAAGAATTATCCTGTCACTGTCACTGGATCATAATCTTGGAACTCCAATCATGGTAGGTGTCCCTCACCATACACATTGCCAAAAATCAAGGTGGTCTCTGGCAACATAGCTCTACCTCACCACCAACCCTCAATCCCTCTCCTCTTTCAGAATTGTCATGGCACTTTATTTGTTTTCCAGTCCTGGATAAGTCGAAATATCTTCTGCTTAAGTATTTGAAAATATCAAAGCTATTGTCTTCACTCCCTGCCATAAGCTGCATTGAAGAACTATCTTTCAATGGTTTGTCTTTGAACCAGACTGGTCAGAAATTTGATTTCACATTTGAACTTTACTTGGAAGATCTGCTGCTGAAACTTTCTTCCATGTCTTTGTTACCTTTATGTCAGACTATTCCAATTAACTCCTGGATACGACCCCTTGATCTACCCTTTGCAATCTTGAGGAAACTCGAACCTCCTATCCATGCCCTGCCTCACACCGAGTTCTTGTTCATCCGCCACACCTGTCCTCACAGGTTTCTGGTTCAGTATCTTTTTGCTAAAACTGTCTTCCATGTTTTCATGAGATAACAAGGTGTAGAGCTGGATGAACACAGCAG